TGGATCGGATCGGATTTAGCATATTTCGGATTGAAATTTCGGATTTCGGATTCCAAAAATTGCAATCCGAATCCGATCCGAATTATATCGGATTGGATCGGATTTTTAAATTTCGGATCGGTTTGGTGATCGAATTTTCGGATCGGATTGTACGTATTATTAAGGAATGTGTATAACTGTATATGGATAATGACTGTTACATAATACAATAGCATTTAAAAGACCAAAAATAGCAAACAAATGACTATAAATTACAGCACCTCAAGATTTTACTTTTGGCTTCATTCCAATTAATAAATGTTACTAATGTCTAATAGTATAGACTTATAGTATTGTAACTGTATAGTATTGTAACTGGTTAAAGCTGACAGTCTTTAAAAATATTCAAAGCTATGCAGTTGAAGCATAACAGAAACATAGCTAACAGTTACAAGACCAGAAGCATAGCAGAAGAGCAGAAACACAAAATGGAACCAAGTTGGCAACTCATATCGACAAACAGGGCACGAATTATGCAACTCAAGCCACGAGAGAATACAACCCTCATGATAAACATGCTTACATGGCAGCTGTTTCACATCTAACCCTAGCTCAAAATCATCCTTACACACAACACACTGTGCCAGCTCAGATTTAAGCAATTCCTCATTAACTTTAATACTGGGCAGACCCTCAACAGCTGATTTCGATGCGGGTAGGGTTCCATAGCGGTTCAGGTCATTTTCCGCTAATTGTTGGATCAATTATTCAAAATGTGGCCCAATAAAATAGTCCCCTATGTTAGACGGTAACCCTAACCCGCTACCCCCATTACCCCCTTCAATCACGAACTCGAAGTTGATACCACTAGCCCTCCGAGACGTGAAGACTGAAGTGAGCAGCACCAGCACAGCAGTCTCTGGGTGCGACACTGCGAGTCTGCGACTTGTGAGGCGTGAAGAAGAGTGAAGACTGAAGCTATGAAGTGAGGACTGAGTTTGAGCTGAGGCGTGGGAACTGAGAAAGTGAGAAGGGTTAACTGAGAAAGTGAGTAGCAGACCGCAGCAACATCAAAAATTTGCTTCTGAGAATTAGACGGAGGCAGACCGTAGAATGAAATAAGGGTTAGGTGACCTAACCCTAAAAATAAAATTAGTATTTATTATTCCCTTAATAAATTTGGATTTCGGATCGGATCGGGTTCAAACTATACAAATCCGAATCCAATCCGAAAATCCGAAATTTTAAAAAATCAAATCCGAATCCGATCCAAATATCCGAAATCCGAAATCCGAAATCCGAAATTGAGCGGATCGGATCGGATTTCGGATATCCAATCCAAATGCACAACCCTAGGCCATGGCATGGTGTTCTCAGGCTATGAAAATGGTGCCTCCGAACAATGATGCCTTTGGACAATTTGGCGATCTTTCAGCCCATGAAATGCAATAGGTGGTGATATTGTGACTGCTGGGGATACTGTATCTGCCGGGGATACTGTATCTTGTGATTGTATAGTATATTTGATTATTTTGCAACTTAAGTGCCTGCATCCAAAGAAAATCGTGAGTTTTGTAAAGGGGGGAGGTTAGTTCGTATCCCTGTTGGCTCTGCTTGACCTGCTCGGCTTGGATCTGGTGATACTGTACGTATCATTGGGGTAGCGTTGCTAAACAAAGTGATTTTAGAAATAAACATGCATGATTTTGTAAAAAATATGACATAAGTGTAAAATCAAGAACAACTTTTAGATGAGCCGGCGACTGTGACGTGGTCCAAGACATTGCAACCTTCCTTGTTACGAAATTTTGAGGGTCCTCCTCAAAATTTTACCCCAGTTTACTGGGTTGCTGCTTCTGACTGCTGCTAGCGATGATTGGCTGAAATTTACTTCAGAATTTTGAGGGTCCTCCTCAAAATTCTGCCCCAGTTTCCAATTGCGGGGGGAAATGAAAGTTTTGTTGAGTTGTGACCGAACCCATAGGGCTGCCTATGTATCTCCTCTTAAATGGGAATCAGGTCAGGCATGGTTCAAATTACATCACAAAGGAAAGCATAAAGATTACAGATAGTAGTGCTTGACTGCATCTGAATTGATCGGCTTTGGCTAGACTTTTCCGTCCATTTCCGCAAGTATGAGGGCTCCTCCTGTTAGAACCCGATGAACTATGTACGGACGCTTCCAGTTGGGAGAGAATTTCCCTTTGGCTTCATTTTGATGCGGGAAAATTTTCTTTAATACTAGCTGCCTCGGTGTGAACTGTCTTGGCTTGACTCTTTTGTTGAAGGTTCTGGACATCCCGTTCTGATAAAGCTAACCGTGGCAAACTGCATTTATTATCTTTCCATCTATAAGAGCTAGCTGCTCGTAATGATTCTTTACCCATTCTGCATCGTCTAGCTTTGCTTTCTGTATGATTCTTAATGAGGGAATTTCCACCTCGACGGGAATGATGACTTCTGTACCATAAACCAACATATAGGGGGTTACCCCGGTTGATGTGCGGACTGTGGTGCGATATCCCAATAAAACAAATGATAGCTTCTTGTGCCACTGATTATGCTTCTCTATCATTTTCCTTAGTATCTCCTTGATATTTTTATTGGCGGCTTCTACTGCTCCGTTCATCTGAGGTCTGTAGGCTATAGAATTTTTGTGTTTGATCTTGAAGGTTTCACACATGGCTTTCATCAGGTCACTGTTGAGATTGGAACCATTATCAATGATGATTGATTCAGGAATCCCGAACCGAAAAACGATACGGTCGCGGATGAAGTCCGCCACGACTTTCTTAGTCACTGCTTTTTAAGATGCTGCTTCGACCCATTTGGTGAAATAGTCGATTGCTACTAGGATAAACCTGTGCCCGTTGGAGGCGGTAGTCTTGATTGGTCCAATAACATCCATGCCCCAAGCAGTGAACGACCATGGTGAGCTTGTTGCAGTAAGCTCGCTTGGAGGTACCTTTATCATGTCTGCATGTATCTGATAGCGGTAGATGCAGTCCGTCTCCATAATCATCCAAAACTATCCAGCACAGAGTATCTTCTTTGCTAAGACAAAACCGTTCATATGCGGGCCGAAGGTCCCAACATGGATTTCTTCTAATAGTTTAGATGCTTCCTTCGTGTCGACACACCTTGGTAATCCCAAATCAGGAGTCCTCCTATATAGGATTCCTCTGCTGTGAAAGAAATTGTTGGACAACCTTCGAAGTGTGCGCTTCTGAGTAGTGTTCGCAAGTTCTGGGTATTCTCCTTTTGCCAAATATTCCTTGATATCATGAAACCAAGGCTTTCCATCTGCTTCTTCTTCGACATAAGCACAGTAAGCTGGCTGATCATAGATCTTTACCGGAATGGGATCAATGAAGTTTTTGTTTGGATATTGTATCATGGATGATAGGGTGGCCAATGCATCGACAAACTCATTCTGGACTCTAGGAACATGCTGGAACTCTGTCTTTGTGAACCTCTTTCTCAGTTCATGTACATGATGCAGTTAAGGGAGTATCTTGGAGTTCTTGGTCTCCCATTTTTCTCGGACCTAATGTATAAGCAAATCTGAATCCCCCATTACTAGCAACTCTTGGATGTTCATGTCAATGGCCATCTTGAGCCCTAAGATGCAGGCTTTGTACTCGGCCATGTTGTTGGTGCAAGTAAACCTGAGTTTGGTAGACACCAGATAATGCTGGCCGATTTCTGATATTAGGACTGCTCCTATGCCAACTCCTTTGAAATTTGCTGCTCCATCGAAAAACATTCTCCAACCATCATAGGATTCTGCAAGTTCCTCTCCTAGGAACAATACCTCTTCGTCAAGAAAATATGTTTTCAGGGGTTCGTACTCTCCATCCACGGGATTTTTAGCAAGGTAATCTACCAATGCATGTCCCTTGATCGCTTTCTGAGTTACGCAAACAATGTCGAACTCACTTAACAGGATTTACCACTTGGCTAGCTTGCCAGTGGGCATGGGCTTCTGGAAGATGTACTTTAAAGGATCCATCCTTGATATGAGATATGTAGTATAGGCATAAAAGTAATGTCTCAACTTCTGAACTACCTAAGTCAAAGCACAGTAGGTGTGCTCTAACAGAGAATACCGGGCCTCGTACGGGGTGAACTTCTTACGAGGTAATAGATGGCCTACTCCTTCCTCCTCGTTTCATCATCTCGAACACAACCAAATGCTCCATCTAATACTGCGAGGTAGAGTAATAGAGGTCTACCTAGCTCGGGTGGGACCAAGACTGGTGGTGTTGACATGTACTTCTTGATTCTGTCGAAGGCTTTTTGGCAGTCATCAGTCCATTTGGTAGTGGCATCCTTCTTCAACATCTTAAAGATTGGCTCACATATAACTGTAGATTGTGCTATGAACCGGCTGATATAGTTAAGTCTCCCCAAGAAACTCATTACGTCCTTCTTGTTCTTTGGCGGTGGCAATTCCTGAATAGCTTTGACCTTTGATGGATCTGGTTCTATTCCTTGGTGACTTACAATGAACCCAAGTAGTTTTCCGGCAGGAACCCCAAATGCACATTTTGCGGGATTCAGTTTTAGGTTGTACCTTCTCAGTCTATTGAAGAACTTTCTCAAATCTTCCATGTGATCAGTGGCTTTCTTGGACTTGATGATAACATCATCTACATATACTTCGATCTTCTTGTGTATCATATCGTGGAAAATGGTGGTCATGGCCCTTATGTAGGTGGCCCCTGCATTCTTCAGGCCAAACGACATCATCTTATAGCAGTCCATTCCCTACGGCATAATGAAAGTCGTTTTCTCAACATCTTATTCATCCATCCAGATCTGATGATACCCAGCAAAACAATCCACAAATTACTGCAATTCATCCTTGGCACAATTGTCGATCAGGACGTGTATGTTTGGCAAGGGGAAGTCGTCTTTCGGACTGACCTGGTTGAGATCCCGGTAATCGACACAGACTTTGACTTTCCCATCCTTCTTTGGTACTAGCACAATGTTGGCTAACCATGTTGGGTATTCTACTACCCCGAGAACCTTGGCTTTGACTTGCTTAGTGACTTCTTCCTTGATTTTCAAACTCGTGTCAGGCTTAAACTTTCTGAGCTTTTGCTTTACCGGTAGACATGTTGGATCGGTTGGAAGTTTGTGAGCCACAATAGATGTACTCAGACCATTCATGTCATCATACGACCAAGCGAATATGTCTTCATATTCCCTTAGAAATTCTGTGTATTCCTTCTTTTCTGATGGCGATAAGTGGACACTGATTCTTGTTTCTTTGACGTTTTCTGCATCTCCCAGGTTAACAATCTCAGTCTCGTCTAAGTTGGACTTAGGATTGTTCTCGAAATTCTTGACTTTTTTAACAATCTCTTCTGGTATATCATCTTCCTCTGAATCTATGTCCATTTGTTGCGTTTTGTTGCACGTCACAGTCATTGGTTCATCAAGATAGGTGATAGTAATGCTGTATAAGTAAAGTAATGAGAGAAAATAATAAGAGTAAGATTTATAGGGAAAGTCGAAATGCTTTGATAAATTCCATAACTGTTTTGAACATTGAAGATCTTATTGTGAAAATTTAAAAATGCGAAAGGAAAGTCAACAATGAAAGATAGTGCATGATGCTTGTTCAGCCTTGCTACCCCGAGGCTTTCCAGGCTCTGGTGGTTTTGATGGTCCAGTTATTGAGGCATACTCCTCTGCTTACTGCCTGTATGGAAGGTCCTTCCTCCCCCTCCTCCTTGAAAATAACACAACAAATTCCTTACTGCTGCAAGTGCTTCCTCTTCTTCTGACCCATAGATAACATCGGCTGACTGGAAAGTCTGCTTCAAATGTGGTATTGGCTGCTCCAGCGGATAGTAAGGACTGCGCCATGGTGGTGACCAGTTGTTGAATTCCTCCCAAGTGTACTCATATCCCAGACCGAAGGTGGTGCCATGTTTCTTTAGTTTGATAGGCTTAGCAATTCCCTGGAGGTTCTTGCCAAGTCCCTTGCCAGGTTCGTATCCGCTCTAGTTCAATATTCTTTCAATTTTATTGTCCCACCATTTGTCCTTGTCGACGGTGTTGACTCGCTCGATGTGGTGATAGGCCCCCCCGTCTATTTTTCTTTTGCCTCCGATTGCTGGGATGGTCTGGCGGCTGTATATGGGATTGCTACCGTCGTCGTGAATGATCACCTCTTGGTGGTTCCACTCAAGTTTCACTGCCTGATGTAGTGTTGACGCTACGACCCCAGCGACATGAATCCACGGTCGTCCCAACAACAAATTGTAAGATGCCGGCACATCTATTACTTGAAAATCAACATTGAACCAAGTAGGCCTTATTTGCAAACATAGGCTGATTTTGCCAATGGTGGACCTTTGGGAATCGTCGAAAGCTTTGACGTTGATGGCCCCGTCCTTGATCTTATGCATCCCCTTTCCAAATGTCATGAGAGTTACCAACGAACAAATATTAAGGCTGGACCCTCCATCAATCAGGACTCTAGTGATAAAATAATCTTTGCATTGCACGGTGATGTGCAACGCCTTGTTGTGACTCAACCCTTCTGGTGGCAGTTCATCTTCATGAAAAGTGATCTTGTGACATTCTAATACCTGCCCTACCATGTTTTCCATATCTCCTCCGGTGATGTTGCTTGGTACATATGCCTCACTTAGTACCTTTAACAGAGCATTCTTGTGTGCCTCAGAATTTTGTAGCAAAGAAAGTATGGAGATCTGCACCGGTGTTTTGTTCAGATGGTCGATGACCGAGTATTCTTTGGCTTGTATCTTTCTCCAAAGATCGTCTAGACCCGTCTAAATGATGGGCGACTGATTGGAGGCCTACTTGCTTGACTCAGCTAGGTGTTCCGGGGTATAGACCCTACCAGTTCTTGTTATACCCTGTGCGGCAACAGTTTCCTCGAACCTAACCTTGTCTTTCCTCCTTACCTCAGCTGTATAGTCCCATGGTATAGCCTTTGTGTGGAATGGCATCACGGCTAACATTGCTACTGGGATTGGTATGGCTATCTTCACCCCGGACGGAGCATGTTCCTTGGGTGGTAAAACTGCAACTTCGAATGGTGTAGGTGCATTTGTTGGTGACATAAATTCGACCTCAATCGGCGTTGGCGTCTTTGCAGAGGATGGTGCTTCAAACTCAAGTGGCATGGACATATTTACTTCGGCGTCCCTAGAAGGCTGAATCTGGACTACAATCGGATTAAGGGTGACTATTGGCTCCTTTGGATCGTCGCCTTCTGTGATCAAACCGATTGATCCCTTGGGGTCCTAATCATCCTCTATTTTAATCATGTGAACGTCTCCACTCTTATGGTCTGGCAGAGGGTTATTGCGGACATTTGGAGCAGGTTCCTTTGCCACAATAATTTTGTTGTCAATCAAAGCCTGGATCTTGTCTTTCAGGGAGCGACATTCGTCGACGGTATGTCCTTCATGCCGGAATGGTATGCATATGATTTGTTTGGATTAACCCACTAATAAGGGTTCTCGTGGATTATAGCAGGGATAGAGGTGACATAACCAGCAGCTTTGAGCCTCTCGTACAATTGGTCAATGGGTTCAACAATGGCTGTATACTGTTTAGGAGGTCTGCGATCAAAATTTGGTCGAGATCTAGGGAAATTTTGGCGTGTAGGAGGTGATTGGTAGTGGGATGGTTGAGCATTGCAGGCTTGGTAAACATGTGCGGGTTGGGAATATCTAGGTGAAGTAGGTTGATATATGAGAGGTGGAGGTGATTGATAAGTGGGTGGTGGAGTTTGGTAAGAAGGTAAGGGTGCTTGGTAGTTCGGAGTAGGATGATACGTGAGTGGAGGCATTGGATAGGTTTGGTATTTGATAGGGGATTTGGTTCTCTGTGCAACCATTACGGCACTTACGTCCCTTTTCTTGGACGCACCACCAGACTGTAAGGCCTTATTGGTAGCTTGCAAGTCTTCAAAGTTTGTAACCATACCACTTTTGATGCCTTCTTCGATCCTTTCTCCTAGCTTGATAATGTCGGAAAATTTGTGGCTCTCAATCATCATCAACCTTGCATAATACTGTGGGTCTTGAGCTCGGACAAAGAATTTGTTCATCTGTTCCTCTTCTAAGGTAGGTCTGACCTTAGCAGCTTCGGACCTCCAGTGAGTAGCATACTCGTGAAATGTTTCTGTAGGCTTCTTCTTTAGATTCTGAATGTAGAACACATCCGGCGCATTCTCCGTGTTGAACCTGAACCTGTCCATAAAGTCGGACGCCATGCTTACCCAGTTTGACCATTTCTTTGGATCCTGGTTGATGTACCAAGACAAAGCATCTCCTTTAAAGTTTCTCATGAAAAGTTTCATGCGGATTCTCTCGTCTTTCCCTACTCCAACCAGCTTGTCATAGTACGTTCTCAGATGGATCCTTGGACCTCTTGTACCACAAACATTTCAAACTTCGGAGGTTTATACCCCTCGGGCAGTTCAACATCGGGTTGTATGCAGAGATCTTCATAGTTCAACCTTTCAATCCCCTTACTTCCTTCGATGCCCTGGATCCTGCTGGTCAATTTCTTAAGTTCTTCAGCCAGATTCCTGATGAGTGAGTCTTTATCATCAGACTCGGGTGTGCTTGAGATGGGTTGGGTGGAGTGTGACACGGTCTCCACGTAGATGAGGGTGTTATGATGGGTGTGAAAGTGGTCATTTGTGAAGTTCAAAGGTTCTGGGATGAGTAGTGGAGTATTGTTGGAGGTGTGGCAAGTGTTGTAGTGGTGGTGAAGAGCGGGATGGTTTCGTGGCTTTGGGATATTCTGTGGAGGTGTGGGGTTCTGAGCATTTGGGAAATTAACGTTGGGAGTGGTGAGGGAAAATGACAGATTCGCCAGATTCCGAACCTGATCAAGTTCTTCTTGGAATTTCATTAGCTTTTGTTCAAGCTGGGATGCACCTTCTTTGGAAACCTGAGTATAATGAGTGACCTCTACCCGTTCAGTTGAGTTTTCCTTTCTGGTGTTGTTCGAATCTTCCATCTTCCCTTTGTTCTTGCTTCTGATAGGACTAAGAAGAGGAGTGGGTGGAGGTCCCCTGGATCTCATTGAATAAGATAATGTTGCTAGAGTGCACGAACTAACCTTTGGGGAGGGGGATGAATAAACAAAAAGTAAAAATAAAAAGGTAACAAGTCAGTGAGGATTATAAGAAAATGTTGTGATATTTAAACACATAGTGCAAGAATGTAAATCGTGTCCTATTTGGGAACCTCTTTGTGCTCGAGGTAGGCCTAGAGACGAGTTGATTTGGAGAAATTAGAATGCTAAATGCCTCATTTTATTGATAAAAAGTAGATGAATCCCAAATTGACTCTAAATAACAGGAAATAAAGCCACTAATAGTCGTTGGCCTTATTACATTTCTTAAAGCAAAAGAAAAACTCCTATCTATTTGGTCCTGGAAGGACCTTCTCCAGACTCGGCATTTTTGGCTCCGTCGAACAGCTTTCCCAGCTTGCGAAGTTCCAGCAATAGGTAGGCTCTGGCTAGATGTCCGCCCTTATTTCCCTCAGCATTTTGGCAATCCTTGATCCTTTTGAGGAACTTCCTTTCTAGCTCCACTATGCCTCGCTCCAAGTATCCCAGTTGCTTGTTGGCACTGACAACCATGTCTTTCCACTCCTCGATCAGCTTTTGGTTGGCTTCTTGTATCTTACGGTGCTCGCTTTCACATTACCGGATCCTCTTGCGCAGTTGATTGTATTTGACCTGTGCCTCGGCCCTCTCATCTATGATCCTGTGGCCCCTAGCAAGTCCTGGCTGACCCAGACCATCATGATTAGATTCCAACCAGCCTGAATAGTATAGAGTAAAACCAGCATGGTATCTGTCTGGTTCGATAGTATCTCTTCCCATTATGATCTTGCAATGCCACATATGCTGAGCTTGACACTTATAAGGACTGTCATCAGCTTGGAAGTCAGCCCAGAAGTGACTCATCTTGTCTACCCTTGGTATAACCTGCTTCCTACTAGCCTGTCTCATAACTTGAAGAGGGACATAAGGGTAGGTTCCTCTCAGATCGATTAATATCAGAAACGGCGCATCCCTAGATCAGACGATGAACTCCTCAGTAGGGAACCACTCGAACATCCATTGTACTTGATCCTCAGTTAGATTTTCAAACAACTCTAACCATCCCTTGGCGTCTTCTGGCTGGGCGAACATGTTGGGCATGTAGTTCATTCACTTCGGATAATGGAAAGCGATATGATCGCCCCAGTCTCTTCGCAGAATTTTCTGTCGGTATTCACCCCTTTGGAGATGCTCCACGAGCCAAAGCTGAAGTAGCAAATTGCAGCCCTCGAAGCATTCGACTCCTCGTTGACACTTCTCCAAGGCTCGGTATATCTCCGCAATAATCATGGGCATAATGCTGAATGGTTGTCTACCAATTCCCTCCATTAGAGTTTTAGTTACCATAGCTAGCCTGGTGTGGATCCTGGCTTTCTTCATTGGAAACACTATCATCCCCAGGAAGCAAAACATGAAGACAAAGACCCTTTGGTGAATATGCCCCAATGATGTGAGGGCGAACTCGTCAGGATAAGTACGGTAAGATTTGCTGTGGCCGTACCTCTCATACAAATAATCAAAGGGAATATACGACTCTTTCAAGCATGTCAAGTCTAGATTCTTCTTTAGACCCATCATTTTGAGGACACCTCTACCCTTGCGATTTTCCGGCATTAACAAACCCGGAGTTTCCCATGGTATACCAGCTAATCCCCCTATTTCTTCCAGCAGGGGCGTCATCTCAATATCCTCGAAGCAGAACACAAACCTATCATAATCCCAGAACAGAGTAGCAGTTTCTATGATCTTGTTGTTAGGTTGGATTTCCAGAAGAGAAGGTAGATTTCCTCGGTATTTTCGGACAAGAGTCTGATCACTGGAATGAAGATCCTCCCACCAGCTTAATTTTGAGTAGATGTTGGAGACCATGCCGAATCTGGGGAATTCGTGCTTCATATTTCTGCAAGACAAAAGGGTTAGGCCCTTATCCCCACCAGACTCGACTATTAAATATCAATAATTGGCATAAAAATATTTAGTTCTCCAAATAAATGCACAGAACGTGATGGTGTCCGTTTGGGTTTTAGGGAAACCTAGTGTACTTTGGACAAGGCTATCTTAAAGAGTCATTATGTGGACAACATAACTGACTCGGCTAGGTTTGACCATGATACATGCATAGTTAAATAGAGTAAGGTTTCTATGGGGTTTTAGACTGGTACCCTTGAGCGGACAACTCAAGGGGGAAAGGTGCGGAACCGTCGACTACACCGTTGATCGACTGGTTTCTCATTATAAGCGTTGCTATGGTATTTTGTTTGGCACGAGTGGAATATGATGTTGAGCATGATTATGCAACAATTAAAGCAGGTTGTCACGTATTTGCACGTTAGGAAAGCAGTAAATACAACAGTTTTTTTTTCATAATTTAAAGGGGTAGTAAAGGAAAGCAGTAAAGGAAAGTAATAAGGGAAAGAAACAAAAGACAAGTCAGTTTTGCAATCGAAAAGAAAAATTGAATGCTTGAAAGAAATAAACAGATAATTGCGCATAAAGAAACATAAATTAACAGTAATAGTCTGAAATGGTAAAAGCATAAGAATCCCGAGCAGAGCTGCCACGCTGTCGCGCTCCCTTTTTCTCGCGAAATCGGGTTTATGACATTTGGAAGGACAACTCATTACTTTTTGAGAATTTGGGTTTGCATTTGAAGAGTCACCACCTAATGATTAAGGTGCATTAGGACACTAAGAAGGTTGATAGGTGGTGAGAACACCATAGATTCAGGCCAGGAGATGGTCGGAGAAGATGGATGAGACTCATCGGAGAGGAGGGGGATATGGAAGGTNGGTGGTCGTTGATCATTTTGATCAACGGCCTGGATTAAATGGGGATCCGGGCGGGTTATTCAAACGGGTTGTGGGTCAGGTAGATTTAGGATTTGGGC